AGGAATGCACAGCCCCCCCAAAAAAAATAGAAGTAAAAGTACTAAAGAGGTTTGTTAGTGAATTTATAAAAAATATAAGATATTTTTCATAGATTCTAAATATTTATATTTGCCAATTTTTATAATTGTTCTCCATTGTGATTCTTTTCTCATACTCAGTATTAACTTTCGTGCCTAATTTTATATTCTTACTTTTACATTTTATTTAATTGATGAAGGCCCCAAATTGAGTAAGTGACAGGTCACACAGCATCTGGATATGACCCTGGTGATGAACACTAGAGAATCTCTAATGCTCCAATGGGCTCAGTCCTGTGATTTAGATCGATCACAGAATTGCCATGATAGTGTTGACTGTTCTCTCCATCTTTTCTTCATGTCCAAAACAATAACCCAATTCTAGCTTTTTTGTTTCTTTTTTCTCTAATATCCATGTTGTTTCAGGCTTCTTGCCATTGCCAATCCTAAATTTGAGACATGTAATGTTGTACATTTTTATTAGGCATTTCACTGGGCAGACACGTGCACCGTCAGACACTTAGAAAGCTCAGGGACAAGGTCTGGCCAGGGCATGTGCATTTTGGGGTAACCAGGATAGAATTGCTGGTGCTTCTGTGTATGTCAGTGGGTGAGACCTTTCATCCAGTGGGAGCAGTTGGCCTTAGAAGGAGTAAGGACAGTTATCTGTCAGGGTAGGGCTGCTGCTAGGTGTTTGCAATGATGACGGTTTGCATGCAGGAAATAGGATCCCCACCTAGGAGTGGGAATGGCAAATTAATATTGACAAAAAGAAAGAAGGTTTAATACAGGTTCTCAGGAATGGGCTAAGAAAATGTAGCATAATGGTGAGGCAGATTTAGAGGCTTTCTTGAGGTTTTAATCTATAATTGAAAACACGGTGTGTCTTTTTTGCAGCTGCGTTTAGCTACATTGGTATATTAGGTGAACATTTTACCAAAGGAATCAGTAAAACCAGAGCTGTGCTAGAGGGCTGGTCTATGCAGGTATGTCCTACCATGAGCACACTGATTGGCCTTGGGCCTTGAGAGGATCTTCTGCTCAAGACCCTCTCCTCTACCTCACTTCTCCCAGCCCACTGCCCACACCCACATTTGAAGGTGCCTCTGGAGCCCTCCTCTGCCGCCCTTCCAATCACATCCCACTAGAATATGATTCTTTTAAAGACAAACTCTGTCCCTGCTCATGCATGAAATCCTTCAACAGCTTGCCTTTGTTCTTCAGATAAAGTTCATGTGATTTATATGGTTATTTTACAGCTTTCTCCATTCAAACATCAACACAACCGCATATCCAAGTAAACTGCAGCTATTCTCAACTTGTTTCAGTTATTGAAGGGACATGTGCTTCTCTGCACACCTGGGCAACCTTGTGTATTATTCCCTGGCCCCAGCACACTCCCTCTTCCCCCCTCCTGCTGAACTCCAGCCCCAACCAGGGCACATCTTTCTTTGTGGCACCATTAAACAATCATTTAGGTTCAGTTCATTTGAGGCCTCTACAAAATGCCCTTCCTAAACTCCTCATCAGCTAGGACTGCTGTGAGCTCAGGCCTCCCATACAGCCGTGCTGGTTCCTGCCTCAGTGCAGTGCTGAGTATGTGGAAGCCACTTGATGAAAAGTTGCAATATGAATTAATAAACAAAAACGCATTTACAAATCAAATGACAAATTTGTAATCTTCACGACAACTTCTGCATCAGTAGCCCCACTTAACACATAAAGAAAGGGAAGTTTATACTGCCCAATGCATTTTTAAAGGATAATGTGTTTAGTTAAAGAAGTGGCATTTGTTACCAAGTTTCTCTACTCTAAAAGCTTTGCTCTCTCATCAGGACTGGGCTGGCTCTCGGGTTCTCATTTCAGTTCAAATTATCAAGGTTTATACTGAGAGAGAAAGCGGGAGTGCAGTACAATGTGTAAGAGCACAGACTTCTGAGACACTGCCAGGTTCAAATCTTTACCTCTGATATTTACTAGCTATGTGACCTTGAGCCACTTACTTAAACTTTCCTTGCCTCCATTTCCATTATGTTAAATGTGAATAATAATAACTAACTCATAGTGGTATTGCCAAGATTAAATGGATTAATGTATAATGCTCTTAGGACAATATTGGGCACGTACAGGTTAAGATGCATATACCAGATATTCATTATTGCTTCATTTTGTTATTACTGGTGTAGCTTCATTATCAATATATCAGAAGAGTCAGCATTTTCCTGATTCATGGTCCCAGGCCAGATATTCTGTTGTCCAGATGTTTAAATCCTCCTCATCTGAGGAAATTCCCTTTCCAGAGGCAGAGGTCTACCACTTGCACGACTTCCACAGGACTGCTCCATTATGGCAGTGGATGGCTGGGCTACAGAACAACCCCCTTCAGAACTGCTCACCAGCCTCAAATATCTGAGACTGGACACCTTGTCAAGCCAGTGACCTTCCAACCACTGATACCACTGATCCTGAGACATGAGAATGTGCTAGAATATGATCTGCATGCAGGAAATTTATCCATTTAGCCCTGAGCCTAATGTCCACTCCTCTTTTCTTAGGCTACACGAAAGTTTCTTTTGGGAAGGGGGATGATTGAAGGGTGATTTTTTATGTCAAATGTAAAGCCACAAAGCATACAGCATCAGTATGGTACTCATTAATGGTAGGAGAACTTTCTTACTTACATCTAACAACTGAGAACAGATTTATATTTTATTTGATGTCTGCGAATATTTATCTCCAGACCCCACTAACTTACGTGAAATTTTTTCTAAGGCAACTAATAGGTTTCTAGTAAATTTTATGTAGAAATTTAACAAACATGAGAACTACTCTTTGCTTTTAATTTGGTCAGAGTGCAAACACACAGGCACTCTCATAAACACTTGTGATAGCAGAAGTTGGTATGGCTTCTGTAGGATGTAATTTAGACAAATGAAATTGCATCTTGAATATATTATTATTTCCATCCAAGATTTCCAAAACTCAGAATTTACATTAAAGGAGATAACTTAGAATTTGCATAACAGTCTTTGAGCAAAGATCAGTTCTTCCCTATTATTTTTATTGTCTCCTTTATGTATTCATTTGACATGGTGTCACCTGATGAAGTGCAAGCTCAGTGAAAGAAGTGACCTTTTCTGCCTTTTCCCTAGCCATTTTAAAAGTGCTTATATTACCTGGTATATAGTAAGCACTTAATAATTTTCTGTTAAATAAATCAAATGATGATTGTTATGATATGTCTGATAGCAAGAACAAGTAGGGAAAGAACCCAAATGTAAAATTTAAAAATTGACTAAATAAATATGGTGAAATGATAAGATAGATAAAATCTATAGAAAGATACAGGATTTTTTCTTTAAGAATATTAACTGAAATAGAAAAAATATTAAGACATTTTTTAATATGATAGAACAGATCACAAATAGCATAATCTTATGTTGGTCAAAGAAATTTAACTAAAAGAAACTAAAAGTGTTTATATATAGTTCTAGAGCCAGATATCATCTTTATTTTTCTCTTTCAAAATTGTTCTTATTTAAAATATTATAAGAAACTGTATTATGTTGTAATGTTTAAACAGATTCTTTTTTCCTAAGAGGGGTTTATAAAGACCATGTAGCTATTTGGAGAATGTGTTTAGAAAATAATTTGTTTAAATAATATAAAATATATTTTTAATTATTACTGTGAAAAGGTTATATTTGTGTATGTACAGGGAATGACAAACAAACTTGATTTGTTGAGGTGATTTGTTTGTTTCTTGCTTTCTTGCTTTTATTCTAAGTTCAATAGTACTTTGGTTAAAAATATACAATTAGAAAGCTATACCATTATCTATTTTGGTAATTTTTTCAAAAATTCAGAATTGGGTATGATCTCCTTTTCCACAGATACTGGCCCATCTTTGAGGAATTGCCAGAACCTTCTTTATTATCAATAAACTCAAGTGTTGTAGGTTATTCTTCCACCATTAGGCCCACAACAGAACTCACACCATGCACGGTGATGAGCAGTCAGTAAAACTATATTAGATCTTGTACTATGGAGAACTTCAGCTTTAATCTAAAGTTCTCTGTAAAGAAGAAAAATTATGAACACTTTTGAGGTAATCACATTTTTTTGTCTCTTTGCCTTCAGACACTTTTGATCCATTTCATTATATTTTAAATGTTCCAACATTTTCTACTCTACTAAGTCTTTAACTTGAAAAGAAATAACTAACATAAAGCACAGGGGACTTAGTTCTCCTTGGTCACAGAGACAAGGTGGGCCTTAAGCAAAGATTTAATTATCAATCTGTGGTGCTTCCGAGCCTGTAAACCCTAAAGTAGAAAGTGAATGTTAATTATCTTTCAAGTCTTATAAGTTATTTTTATTTTAAACCTTTAAAAAAGGCTATAGAAACCATTTTGAATTTTACAGAATGCCCAATAGCTTGACATTGCAAGAATCCTGTGTGTAGCACAGACATTTAATTGATCTATGTCAACTGTATTATATATCCTTTGCATATTCAGAGAGACAGTCAAACTACAAAAGCAAAAGCAAAGCAAAACAAAACCTTTCTCTCCATTTATCTTGATATTTTCTGCCTATATCTTTCTCTTATACATTTTGTTCATCAAAAAAAAAAAAGGAAAAAGGAAAAAAAAATTGAGAAGAAGAAACAATGCTAACAATCGAGGTTTAAATTCAGACTATTTTCATTGGAACTTTCTACTTCTTCCTCAATGAACTCCTCCCCCAGCTGCTCCCTGTTCTGTCTCCCAGCGGGGGGCAGCAGAAACTGTGCATCATCTAACCACTAACGTGGGTGCGCACTTTCCTGCATTCTATATTTTCTTTTCCTTTATGCATTCTTTTTCTTTATCTTTTCTTTTATATCTGTGGGTCATTTGTTTTTATGAGCTACTAATGAACCCGGAACCACTGTCTGCTGAGGAAACACCATTGAAATAATGACTATTTACTGATCATACCTTGAGAATCTTGCACATAATCTCATAAACTGAGAATGTTTTCTCTGCTCTGGTCCAGTCCCAGGTGGTCACCTTTAAAAGGCAAGAAAAAAATATGCCATTTGTTTCAGAGAGTAATTTCCTCCCTATTTCACTCATACAACACGGTAACAGGGAAACTTGCAGAGATGCATCCATTTAGTCTCTCAACTGTGACACTATCTTCATAAAGGGCCTTGTAGGATGTTTTTGCTTCCTCTGTTCTAACCATTATCACCATGTCTCTTTCCCTTTCAGGAAACAGTTTCTGTTGTGTACAACTTTCATTTGCCCAATATCCTATGTATTATAAATAATGTGTGTATTCTCTACATACAAATAATAAGTATTTACATTCCACACATATAATATTTTTCTCAATTTACCACCAGTTAAACATAGAGAAGAATATTGGCTTTAATTTTTAAAAGAGGACATAATCTATATTAAGAAATTTTAAGATTCCTTATGACATTGTGAAGACACCAAAACTACAATGAAGTTGTTTTACTTATTTATGCTTAAAACCTATATTTGTCTGACTCCCTTTCATAAAAAATGATTCAGAATAGGAATAGAGTAAAAGATATAAATATTAATCTGCCCCCCTAACTTCCTGGTGCTTTAAACTTTATGTAGACACAGACATTTAAGATAGTGGCAAGTTGAGTTTGATTATGTCTAGATCTTATGTATTATTAGACCTGTAAGTGAGTGGTCTGGCATTTGGTATTTATATTCAATAAATATTTATTAGACGTCTACTGTGCCATCGGGTACACATTTCCAAAATTAGGTGCAATAGGTGTCCATACATATTTAGTACAAACACCAATGACTAAAATATAGAGTGTAATAGATTATCAAAAATGCCATTGACTTGGTTTAGAGAGACCTGTACAACATAGATAAACATATTTTGACTGTCATAAATGAAAGCTCACCAGAATATATTTCTGATATTTTTATGAAGAAAAGAGCCCTCCAATTTAAACTTTTAACACTGCAAAAGTCTGGCTAAAGTTGAGATAGACTTAATTCTAATTGGACAGAATGCTATCTTCTGAGGTTTATTTATTATAGCTTGCTAATAATAAATTAACTATAGCTTGAAAACTTACTGTTAGTAATTAAAAGTGTCAAAGAAATTTAAAAGAGCTATCAAAAGTCCTTTTAAAAGTAAGAGATTAATAAGCATGTTGGTTAATGCATAACAAACCTTCAAAATCACTTACTTTGATTCTACCTTTGATATATTCATTGCTTTAGTTTTTATTCAACTAACAAAATGCACTGGCATATGTTTGGAAATACTGTTTCTTAAAATTTCCTTTCCTATATCTTCATGGAATTTTTAACAGCATTATAATTTTATTCATTATTTTTTAGGTTCACTATGTAAACAGAAATTATTCTTAGACTTTTCAAGGGTTATAAAGCAATCTTTAATGCCAGAACATATTTTTAGTAAGATACTTCAGAACCATCTGTAATGATTTCTACTTTTTTCTGTATCTTATTTTCACAACATATTGACAATATGCTATTTGGTATTGCTAAGTTGACATCAATCTGTTGTGAAAACATGGGAAAGACAATACATTTGGATAAAAACACTTACTGGAGGTGCCAGAAACTTGTAAAGACAGGAGCCCCGCAGGGCGAGGAAGGCTGGTGAGTACGCACGGTCCTGCAGCGGGTCCTGCTCCCGGGCCTCACACCAGCCCATGTAGACGATCTGCAAGGAAATTGAACATAATTAACTGTCAGGAAACTTCTTTTAGTTATCTAATGTGCATGTATTGTGGTATTATAATCTCTCACAAAATTATCAAATTAATTGGTATAAAAAGTACACTGAACCAGATTTACCTTAAATAAGTGAATGCCAACCTCTGACAAGAGTTTCTTATGTTTTCATCAGCATTCATCAAGTGTTTGTTTGTTTGTTTATGCAATCCAGTCTACCATGAATTATATTTCCCAATCTCTACCAGTTCCTACTGCAAAAAATATTCAAGTATAATATAATAGAATCCACTAACTCATCTCATCAGCTTTCTAATTACTGACATTTTATTATATATAAATGTGTTCCCAATACAAAAAAAAATTATTTTGAGACAGAGTCTTGCTCTGGAGTGCAGTGGCAGTACATAGCTTACTGCAGCCTCAAGCTACAGGACTCAAGCAAGCTCCTGAGTAGCTGGAACAATAGGCTACTGGCTAATTTGTTTTTATTTTTTGTAAAGATGGGGTCTTGCTATATTGCCCAGGCTGGTCTTGAACTCCTGGGCTCAAGTAACCCTCTTTTCTTGGCCTCCCAAAGTGGTTGGATTGCAGGTGTGAGCCACTGTGCCGCTGACTACAATACAAAATGTTTGAGTAAAGGAAACAAGTCAAAGAGCAGTACCTTATGTGATGACCACTAGGATGGCATGCCGTATACCTTCCCTGTGCATGACAGGGTAGGATGGTAAACCTGCTCATTTTAATCATTGATATCAGATGAATACAAATCATGGTACTGTAGTCATGTATCAAATGGCATTGAAACCAACTTTTTAGCCCGTAGCTCTTACACATGGGTTGATTGATTTCCAGAAGAAAGAATGTGAGATGAGCCACTCTTTTCTTTCCATCATTTGGTTGTTGTGAAGGTCAAACATATATGTAAATATTTAACAAATTAGTGTTACATTCAATGTACTCCTATGGTATTTAATTTCTCTTTCACTGTGGCTCTACGTAAGAGGATATACTTTCCACTTCATATAATTTACTCTGGTCTCATGGCTGTAGCCTACTGCTAGGACTCGAGCCCAGCTAGCTCCTGCCTGGTGACTAATGCCAAACAACCAGTTCACTTGCAGAGAGAAATAAATACTATTATGGGGGTTGTTTGTTGTGCAGCATTACTATGGTAACAGTTGATTAATAACAACAATAGAATTTGAAATAGTATTGCTGTCATCGATTCACAGAGCCCATCTTCTTTCCATTAATCATAATTATTCTCAAAAATAATTGGGTTGTACACCATCTCATAATTTTATTTTGTCTTACAACAAGCCTATGAGAAATAAAGTACCTGATTTAACAAATTATGAAATTGTGATTTCAACGAATTAGCTTAATGAATAAATCAAACTTGGTACAAGTTAGACTAGGAATTTAAACCAAGGTCTCTTGCTCTTTTAATTATATTACATACTCTCTAATCTCTTAGATTACCAATGTATGCTTTGAAATTTACACCACAAGGGATTATGGTGTATTATTAATCAGACTTCACTGGTTAATAATAATATAATAAGAACCAGTTATAATAACTGATTATTTTATATTCTTTATATAGCTAGATATACTTAATTAAATAACATCATTGCTTTAAAAGAGTAGATGAAGCTTAATAGCTGACAATACAATAAAGATAAATATGATTTATTTAAATATGTAAGTATATTTAATGAGTCATAATAATTTAATTAAAGTGAAAGGAGGATATGATTATTTATACTTCTAAGACCATGTTTCCCCAAAAATAAGACCTACCTATAAAATAAGCTCTAGCAAGATTTCTAAGCATTTGTGCAATAGAAGCCCTACCCCGAAAATAAGACCTAGTGGTGGGCGTGGCTATGCAGCATATCTGCACAACCCATGCATTTCATCTCGGAGCGGTAAAGAAGACGAGCAGCCCTTCTTATCTGCCCCATGGGAGCTCTATTGCTCAACATGAGAGATTGGGGCCAATGATTCTAAAGGAAATAGAGTGGCAAGAAATTCAGGATGGAATTCGGGGTTTGGAGAGTTATGATGATGTTCCAGAAGAAGATGACTTAACTATATTTGAATAAATGTAGATTGTTGTGCCATACTTAAAAAAATAACCCATCTCCTGGAAATAAGCCCTAGGGTGTCTTCTTGAGGAAAAATAAATATAAGACCCTGTCTTATTTTGGGGAAAATATGGTAGTTGTGTATTAGGCAATTCAGAAAACCCACCATCAGAAGTTGCCTTAGAAAACTGGAAAACAAATAATGTACTTAAAACATTAGATAGTTTACAAGACATTCAAGAACAACTAGAAAAATCCATAGTAATATGAAAATTGAGAGAAGTTAATCACGAACCCAAATGTGGGGTCAACTTTTGCCACAGGGGCATTTTCTATACAGAAATGTTTCATGAGAGACAGAGCTGCCTTGGTCAGCCTTATAGGTTTAGGGCAAAATATTAAAGTCTAGGACCCGCCAAATGTCAAGGCCTTTGTAAACATGTTCTGCTTTTACTTAAGATCACAAATTTCTGAATCTTAACCAAAAAGTTAAGGTAGAAGTCATGAAGCCCTCGTAAGGATAAGAGCCCAGATTTAAGCCATTCAGATGACCAAAAAAATGTCAAGCTTGAAATGGGTTATGATGGTTTTGGATTCCACTTCTCTCAGGCTTCTGACTAAAGAAAATTGAAATCCTCTCTGGATAATGATAATAGTATATATTTCTTCACTTTCATAAAAACTATCATCTGGAACAAAATAAAAATAAGCAAGGATATAGGGAAATAAAAAATAACCAAGGATATAAATGAAGCACAGCAGGAGAAAAGCATAAAAAATAAAAACAATAGGAAGCAGAACCCAACATTTAGACATTTCCAATATTGAAATGTTATGACACAGACATTAATTTATTCTTGCAATGTGTAAGCATATAAGATACAAGCTTGAAACTTTGATCAGACAACGTCTTAGATAATATATTATAAAACAAATGTAATTTAAAACACATACAATTGAAGTTAACAAGAGATTAGAAGCAACTAAAGAAAGTGTTAGTGAATTGAGAGATGGCTCAGTAAAAATTTCTAGAATAATGACTGGAGAGACAAAAGTTTGGGATAAGCAGATAAGAATAAAAGAAAAAGTTGTTACAATGAGAAGTATAAAACTCTTCTAATTTGAGTTCCAAGCAGAGACAAGAAAGGAAATGATAAAAAGAGGTCAATATACAGATTCAGAAGATGAACAAAGCAAAGGCAAGCAGGAGGGCAGGAGCAAGGGCAGAGCCCTGGGCACTGTCTTTGCCAGAGTTTCTGTGGGAAGGTGAGTCAGGGCAGGTGACAGCTTAGGCATTTTATTATGAGTCTTCAGAAAGCCAAAGACCAAAGACAACAAATAGTAATTAAAAGTGGCCAGAAGGCAGGAAAAAATAATTACCTTTTATAGGAACAAGTATTGGAATAATTCTCAAAAGAAACACAGAAAGCCAGAATATTATGGAACACAAACCTCAATGTATAGAATGAAAATGACAGTCAACTATAAATCCATATACAGCAAAATTATCTTTTAAGATGAAGGTGAGATTCAGACTTTTGCGACATGCAGACTTAAAGTGCTAAAATCAGCACTGAAGGAACAAGCAAAATGGACAACGATGTTCAGAGAGATAGAAGGTTGGAAATACAGGAGAGAAAGAAGGAGCTGTAGGGTTGGAAATCTTTGCATATATTTATTATAAGTTATAACAAGACAAAAACATTTGAAATTTAATAGGCGATAGTTTTGGTTAAAGTGATCTGAGTTTCTTTCACTGAATGGAAAGATGATGTAAGTAACATTTTACATCATATTTTAGTAGATACATTTTGTAATCTCTAAAGCAACTATTTCAGTAAAAGTGGTAATCTACAAAGTAATATCTTTGTGAAACTGTTTAACAGAGTAAATCATTAGTCATGAAAATTTTTGGAATAAACACTTTTAATATTTTTAAAATCTTGAAAAGGGAACTTTGTAGATTTTTTAAATGTGGTATGTCTTTAAATTCCCATATAGAAAACAAAACTCTAAATTTAAAACATATATTAATAATTTAAAATAACAATGATAAATCCATTATATCTTATTATAAATAACATATTTTATGGGAAAAACTCTCAAAAAACCTTAACAAGAAGACTGGAAATGTTTACATTAATGCTTGGTCTAACAGAAGGCAGATGATTTCTAACATATGTGTCTGCATTCGTTCTCTTACGATATTATCCATCATGAGCTTCTGGAAAACTTCAACTCTATGAGAGTTAGAGTGGAAAAGGAAAATATCATCTGCACTTTACTGTCAAAGGAGTTTGACGTTATAGAACCGCTAAAAATAAGAACCGCTAAAATATTCAAGGAATCTCCAAGGGTACATAAAACACACTCAGGGAACAGCTGTAGTAAAACATTAGCAAATGTTGTAACCTCTATGGTAATCACTTATTAAAATATAAAAAGGAAATAAAATACTGTAGTGAAATATATAAAACTTCAAAGTAAACAGAAGGAAAATAAAAACAAATATTAAACAGTATCAATCAATCTGAAAGAAAACAAGAAGATAAAAAGAAACAGAATTTATGGAAAAATGGAAAGAACATGATAAGGTGGTAGAATGTAACAAAAATAAGATACTAATTATATGGCAGGGAAATGGAATAAATTTATAAAGATTTTCACAGTGTGCTAAAAATAATAAGTAAATAAAACAAAAACAACTACTCTACATTCTGCCTCCAAAGACACATATAGAACATAAAAGTACAGCAAGTTTGTAAAGAAAAGAATGAAAAATTTATATCAGAAGCTAAAAATAAATTGGTCTAGCAATACTAATATTAGAAAATGAGCTAGATATGATGGCTCACTACCTGTAATCCTAGTACTCTGGGAGGCCAAGATGGGAGAA